CAGACGTACAAGTTCGCCCACGTCACTGCATCAGATTTGATGGACCACAAATCCTCACTAAAGAACACCGATTCTTTCCAAAGATGATTCGTGAGGCTATTGAAATCAAAAAACATCCTAATTTCAATAGTGAAGATGGCTTGGTGCTACCATCTGTTTGGAATTCTATAATTAATAAAATTAAACCCCAATCCAAGCATACAAATGCAAGACTTTAAGATACTATAAATCATACTGTGTAGATCGGAACAAAAATTAATAATTTTAATCTATGGTAACCGCGGTTAACTATGACATCTAGACGTTGAATATCTCAGTCCCCCCCCCCCCGTGACGATGGGTGCTATAAAGTGCTCGAAACGTCTGGTATATAAAAAAGTTAATATACGCGATAAAACCCGTAAAACTAGTATTATTATAATGTGTAGCGTTCGCCTAAATATAAGAAATCATTACTTATCCTCTAACTATACAAGGTAACCGCGTGGTCCTAACCTATAAACACACGCTTATGTCTTCTAAAAATATGTGCACTGCACCTCCACCTCACCACTTATCCCAACACCACTGCTACTTTCCTAGTGAATGACGTACCACCTTAGATAATACGACACGTGTTATGGAGGACACGAGCCATATTCAGTGAAGTAAACCATTTGGTGGCTGTACGCTAAGTATCTTAATTATTTTTAACATCTTTATTGCAATGGGTTTTCGCAATGTAACGCCTGATTCTATTAATTATTTTAACTCGTTTTCTTTTCCAACACGTGAAAGTCCTATTGTATGGAGCATTTGCTAATCACCACGCTTAGGAGGCGTATTAGCAATCGCGTTACTAATAAAGATGATTTACTTTGACGTTGCTAACTGTCGCCGATTTAGGGACTTTACGTTTGATGTAGAATCAATCAATCAATCAAGCATTTTATTCATTTTCACAGGTAACAAGGTTGACAATGTTATAATTTTATAGTACCTCCGTGAAATGCTTCAACAGCATACGAATTTATATATCCATACATCATAAAATTAAATATATATAAAAAAAACAGATCAAAGTAATAAAATTAAGTGGAGTCAAAATAAAATTATTACATTACATATTTAAATTATTAGTGAATAGAAATTCATTGACATTATAATAACATTTATCTATAAGAAATTTACTTAAAATAGATTTCAATTTTTGCACATTATAACATTTTATGTGATTAGGTAATTTATTATATAATTTAGGGGCCATTTCAACAACATTTTTTCATAAGGGCAGTTTTGCATACATTCGTCTGGATTTTTTGTTTTCGAGGACGAAGGTTAACTAAATTTTAAAATAATTACCCCGAAAAAAAAAGTTAAATCCCCCCTATTATATTGAAAATTTAAATTAAAAAAAAAATTTAAAATTAATTATTTGTTTATTTAATTTTTTTTTTTTTTTTTTTTTTTTTTTTTTTTTTTTTTTTTTCGCGTGATGGTTGTACTCCTATATTAAAAAGTTCCGGATTACACTTTACAAACATACACGATTCTAGTATATAAATACAGGGTAATGTTAATATCTTAAGAGATCTAAAGTATGGTATGCAACTTTCTGTAGACTTTATCCCACATATAGCTCGAATACATTGTTTTTGAGCTTTCATAATTAATTCCCTGTATGTTGATAGTCCGCAAAATATGATACCATATCGCAGGGCCGAAGCGACAAAGCCATGGTACGCTGTTAGAACAGTTTTTCGGTCAGCTATTTTCGACAGTTTATATAGTGCAAATGAAAATTTATACATTCTTTTGCAGACTTCTATTGAATGCGATTCCCATGACATGTTGCTATCTATAAACAGCACTAGGAATTTCGCTACTTTTGTTTCAGAAATTGTTTTATTTCCATAATTTATTATTAGATTTGGAGTACTTTTTCTTTGTGTAAATTGCATAATTTTTGTTTTTTCTAGATTAACTTTGAGATTATTTGATTTTAACCACTTAATAATGTTTTCAATAGCAAGTTTAATATTATTTTGATATTCTGCTACACTGTCACACTGTACAAAAATAGTGCTATCGTCTGCAAATAGTATCATTGGGTATTTACAAGACTCGACGATATCATTGATATATATTATAAAGAGCAAAGGACCCAAAACACTTCCCTGTGGAACGCCACGCTTTATCGTTCTATTATTAGACGTATATATTTTTTCTTGTCTTGTAGAGATACAGATCTGACTGATTACGGTTTTTTGTGTCCTATCTGTTAAATAGGATTTCATTAAATTGAGTGCATTACCTCTTACACCACGGCTAAGTTAACGGCTTAGTTTTTCCAGCAATATATTATGATCTACAAGGTCAAATGCTTTCGTCATGTCCATATAAATTGCACATGATGGGATCCTTTTATCTAGACAAATCACTGCCCTTTTTACTAAGTCGTATATTGCTGTTGCGATTGCAGTATTTGTGCGAAATCCTTTTTGCTCTTTGTTTAAAATATTATGTTTTTCCAAAAATTCGTAAAGCTGGCCATGAATAAGTTTTCCAAATATATTTGATAAAATTGATAACAGTGCAATTGGACGATAATTATTGGCAATATGTTTATTACCTTTTTTAAATAATGGCTTTACTACAGCTGATTTCAAATTGTTTGGAAATATACCTGCAGAAAAGCTTAAATTAATAATATGACTCAAAGGTCTTGCTATTGTAGAGCTAACATGTTTTATTACTTTTGTAGAAACGTCATCAAAACCAACACTATTAGTATTTTTTAGACTATTTATAATTTTACATACTGAGTCAGGTGTTGTCGGTCTTAAAAATAGAGATTTGTAATTATTGTTAAAATGAGATAAATGACTTAAATTTACATTATTATTACAATTATTATTAGAATTGTTAGAATTGTTATTGTTATTATTTGAAAAAATGTCAGTATTAATAGTACAATTTTCAGTTTCCATGTCATCAATAAAAAAATCATTAAACGCATTAGTGATGTCAATAGGGTTAGTAAGATATTCATTACCTACTCTTAGCTTCTGTATTGGTTCTTTGGGAATATTGGTTTTGGATTTATATATAACGGACCAAGTTGCTTTCATTTTATTTTTTGACTTATTTATGTAGTTGTCATTTTGTGAACGTTGTGTGTTTTTTATTATTTTTTTTTAATTTTGATGAATATTCTTTTATTAGTGATAGAGCATCTTTGCTTTTTTTTCTCCTAAAATACCAAAGTATGTCTCGCTTTTTTTTTACAACATACTTTAAGTCCCTTTGATATCCATTTTTGCTTGGAATTTAGAGTATTTTTTATAATTTTATAGGGGAAACATAGATCATAAAAGCATTTGAATATGTCAAAAAAACCATCATAAGATGTATTAGGATCCGAAGAATTAAATATATCCTGGAAACTTAGACTATCAATACATCTTTTAAATGTTTGAAGGTTTTAGATTATACATGTTTTTTTGCAGGACATTTTAAAATTTGCGCCATATGATCCGAAAGACCTAGTTCAATGACCTCACTGTTTGATCCTCTTATATTATGTGCAAAATTGTCAATAGACGTTCCACTTGCAACTCTTGTCGGCTTTTGTATTGCTAGCTTCAGATTATAGCCTAACAGTAGATTTGTAAATTCTCGACTAACAGAAGTATTTTTCAGAATATCAATGTTAAAATTGCCACAGATAATTATATTTTTATTTTTAGTTTTTATTATAGTATTTAGAATGCCTCTAAAAGTATCATAGAACGTATCCAAACAAGATTTATCTGTGTTAGGAACTCTATAAATACATATCACAATCATGTTATGGTCACATATTTCTACAGCACAGGTCTCTATCATACAATTAATCGAGAATTTCTTAATATTATCAACTACTCTATACTTTAATCCATTTCTTACTAAAATACATGATCCACCACGTCTTTTATTTCTTGAAAAACTGGTTGTTAATGTGAAATTAGGTATTGTAAGGAATTCTTCCAATTCTGGTATCATATTGTGCTCGGTCACACATAGAATGTCGATAGCTTTTTTTGTCTGTCTAACTCATCCAGATTTAATACTAACTCATCACATTTGTTCAATAGTCCCGATATGTTTGATGTAATATATGTAAGTGATTATAGAAGAAAAAACTGATGATCATCAGGGATAATAGAGCTTTCTTTTCTTGTGTCGATTTGCTTCTCATCACTCGATTTTTGTAGAGATAATATTTGTTTGGCAATATTTTGCATTAAATTTTGTACTCCATTTTGTTTTATTTTACCAGTATACTGTGAAAACATATCATATGTTAAGTCCAGGTTTGAATCAATGTAATAGCTTATTAGTGTTTATGTCCCGATTAAGTAGGTAATTGAAAGTCTCTACTGTGTAGTTATATAATGGCTTTCCACATATTTATGTTGGTGAAACTACGATTACGTTTGTATTTTTTACTTTTTCCAGCCTGGTTTTGATTGTTTTCACCAGACCTTTATAGTATTCTGAGGTATTAAAATCCGATTCTCCTATTATCACAACACAGTAGTCATGTTTTGTATAGTCCTTTAATTTTTTATGTATATTTTTTAAAATTATCTCTATCCCAGCATTTGTAGTAATAAAGTGACAACTCATACTGACTGAGAACATGATTTCTGTTTACATTTTGTAGTATTTTATATCTCTTGTCACTTGTGAGTATCCACAATTTGTGTTTTAATGGTTTATGTAATGATTTAGTATCTTTATGTACATGATTTTTTGTGCAATTATTTAGTTCTAAATCAGTTTTTGGTGTTGTTTTGTCTTTCAATTGCTTTTCTAAGCTTTCGATTTTTGTGCATAGATTTCTTACTTCTTCTTGAGCTAATTTCAGGTTTTGTTGTAATTTTACGATTGCATTTTCCAAAGCAAAAATTTGCTCTGTCTTTGTCTTATCTGGAGTCACATTATTAGGAAAAATTGAGGACAAACTCTTGCGCTGTTTATTTTACAATTTGTGGGGTTTTACATATATTTTTCATAAAAAGTAGCTCTTGTGTCAATTTGGTGACTTGTCGTCGTAATTCATTATTTTCCAAAATTGTTGTTTCAGACTCGCAACTCTTTAATTTAATTTGTAAGTCATCTATTTCCGTATTTTGTTTGCTCACAATATCAAGTTCATTTACTAATTCTAAACTGTGTGATAAATCTTCTAAGGATTGGAAACTATTGTTTAATGATCCAACAGGCAATTCCATCGATAGTGATTTTGCTAATAATTTTTCTTTAGGTAGTAGTGTCTGGCCAGTTTTTTCTGAGCTGTTTGGAGATTCTGAGTCAAAAGCATTCATATCGTTACTTTCAAGGGTTTCATCAGTCCTTTTTTTTGCGTATTGTGATATTCACCGCATCTTTTTCTAGGGATGGAGAGAGGACTGTATTTTTTTTACTTTTTTATGCATTTAAAACATCTCCACGATTTTTTAGTCTCATTTGTCCATATTCTAAAACGAGCGAAAGTTATGTTTGCACAGTCAATATGGTAGATATTATTACAAACTGAACAAATTGTGAACTGTCGATTTTCTATTATTGATTTACATTTGAAACAACATTTCTTTAAAGGAGTTGTTGTGTTTTAGGTGTTGTAGGTGTTTTGTTGTTTTTGCTCCATGTTTGTATTTATGTTAGAAAATTAAAGACAAAAATATTTCTGTATGTCTCGAGGCTCGATCCTCCGTCGTATCGGTGTCTAATCAACTCACTTGTACCGTTCGACCAAGCGTGCTCATTAATAGCAATTGAAATTAAGCATTATATTCCACTTCTTCCGCATACTCGTGGGTAGATGAAATTTGATGATAATGTAGTTTGATAGATGGCGTTGTAATCACCAACTATATAAAAACGACCATAAGTTGTAGAATCGAATGTACAAATTTGTTTGCACTTAATCACAATATTTGAATAAAATTAACCGTCAGATTAATACTTTTCATGTTAAGCGAATAATAAAGAAATATCTTCACTTTTTGCACAAGAATATTGTAGTTTGGAACAAAATCATAGTATTTTTAGTCTAGAAGCGATGATTCTGTGATCATCTTTTCGAAGCCTTGAGTTTTTTTTTAGAATAAGGGAGACGAACGATCACACAGTCCACCTGATGGTTATTGAATGTTTTAAGCTATTGCATAGCTTCTATCGCGGGCCTTGACTCCAGAAATTCCGTAACGAAAAAAAACCTCACGCTCCCTACTCCGACGGGCACGGAGGTGTGGCGTTGAAAGCCGTGCATCGTCTAACGTCGTTTCAGTTCGGCAGACTTCGGCACTCGGCAGACTTCGGCACGGTGTTTGTGTGCGTGCGACTAGATGTATGCGTGTACACTAGCTGCTAACTCAATTATAAAAATTCCTGAATAACCTACATGTATTGTAAGATATTAAAAATATTTTAAACAATATTAACTTCTCTTTATTCAATAAGAGAAAAAAATTTTTCTTATCGGTCACCACGCTCAAAAAGTGTAACTTGATTTAATATCAAAGACTTAACTGCATAAATAAAATAAATAAATAATTATAATTGCATAAGTTGATAAAAAATGCTATGCAATAGCTTTACCGCGGCAGTCACCGAGTGCCACACGTATTTTTGTTGTTATAGATGTTTACATCTATTCCCGATTAAGAATCAAATTACATGGCAATATCACCCCTGAAAACAAAGATGAAATGCCTCGCTTTAATAAAAAGGGTTTCCGGTTTTTTACACTCACTAATCGAAATACCGCAGCATTAAGCTGCTATTTTACGCTGTTATTCTGTAAGAGTGGCTTTTTTCCCATCGAGCTAATCCATTCGAGCTACAAATAGCTTGACTCAACATCAGAACAACAACAGAAAGAGTTTGTAATTCCTACGGTTTTCATACTTATTTGCGTAAAATAATATATTGTCAATTAATTTTTAATACAGTACTGCTGAGTCACTTGCTGTTTCTTGGAGAAAAATATTATGGGAACCAGTGGTTAAGGTTAAATTACTTTTAATAAGTAGTCTTGTATCTATATTGAATTAAAATGATTCTCTTCTCTTCTGAACATAATATTACTGTAGCGGGGCTCTACCATGCTCATATTTTTTTTCCGAAATTTTCCATATTCATCACTCACGACATCTATGGGATGAAATGTGATTATAGATTCTCTTACGCCGCTACTACGAGATAACCCTAGATAGTTTAAAATTCCAACGTGCAAATTATGTAGGATCACTTATAAGCCATATGTTATGTATGTATATACATTTGTATACCTATGTATTACAATGCGTGGCTGTGCCCACGCGCCCTCTGTTAATAAACCAGTGCATAGCAAGCTACCGGCCGTTTAACTCGCTTCCTGACCGTATACATAACATTGGCGACGAGTACCCGCGTAAAAAGTAATTACAAATGGCTAATTCACATTTTGGAATATTATCCAGTTTTAACCACGATTTACAGGATTGGAAAACTTATAAAAACCGAATAAATCAGTGGTTCTTGGCAAATGAAATTAATAATACGACGGATCCGAGCGGGAAAAAGAGAAGAGCAATTTTGCTAAGTGCACTCTCGGAGGGTACCTATAGGCTCGCTGAGAATTTAGCCTTACCCAAGGATGTGCAGGAGGTGCCCTACAAAGACATCCTACGAATCCTCGACATCCATTTTAACCCGAAGATTGTCGGTTTCACGGAACGACACAACTTCTATGCAGCATCGCAGCAACCCGGTGAAACACATTCACAGTGGGCCGCGAGACTGCGCGGTCTTACGTCACGCTGCGCTTTCCATGATGTCGAAGAGGCCCTACGAGACCGGTTCATTATGGGAATGATGCCTAGTTTTGAGAAAGAGAAACTTTACGCCCAAGATATTACCAATCTAACTCTCACGAAAGCTGTAGAATTTGCTGAAAACGTCCGTTGTGCGAAATCAGCTGCAATCGCCAGTGCCAGTATGTCCGCAGCTTCTACTGGTGCTTTGTACAAGATTAGACCAAGAGATAAAGGTGCAAGAAGTGTAAAAAGTGATATTTCGGTAAAACAAAAGTGTAAAGTGTGTGGTTATACGAACCACAAGGCTTCGGAGTGCCGGTATGCGGATTTCGTATGTAGGAAGTGTAACGTCGTAGGCCATCTACGTAGAATGTGTACGTCAAATAAAGTTAACTACGTAGATAATGGAGCCGGAGACGAAGACATCGGTGATGATGGTGAGGTATTTAAAATTCGTTCCTTGCGGGGTAAACCGATGGTCGAGACCGTGTTTATTCGTGGAACGGCGTTTAAGTTTGAAATAGATAGCGGTTCCGCCGTAACTGTGATACCGGAAAAATTATATAAATCTCATTTTAAAGATATTCCATTGATCGTTCCGCATAAAAGGTTGATGCAGCATAACATGTGTAGGCACAATTCGGTTGCCCGTGTACTATACTAACCGCTCACACACGCTCGACGTGTACGTCGTCCGGGACGGCGGGCCGCCGCTCCTCGGTAGGGACTTTATATCTACATTCCAATTAGAGTTATCATCAGTTTTATCAACGGTGAATTACTGTCAGGGTACCCTTCCCTCCGTGGAAGAACTGCAATGTCAATTTCCAGTTCTTTTTTCGGATAAATTAGGTCGTTTTACTAAACATAAGGTGCACTTACAGTTAAAAGAGAATGCAAAACCAGTTTTCTTTAAAGCGAGACCGATTGCATTTGCCCTACGGAATAAGATAAACAGTGAACTAGATAGAATCGTTGAGTCAGGGGTATTAAAACCGGTTGACCACGCAGACTACGCGTCCCCTATAGTCCCTGTTTTAAAAAGAAATGGCACTATTCGCTTGTGTGCGGATTACTCGGTTAGTATTAATAGGCAATTAATTATCGACCAGTATCCTCTGCCGACTGCCAAGGAATTGTTTGCAAAGCTTTATGGTGGAAAAAAATTCACCAAATTAGACTTATCTATGGCTTATAACCAATTTGAGCTGGATGACGAGTCACAAAGGTACACTGTAATTGATACTCATCGTGGATTATACAAGTATACTAGGCTAATCCCAAAGCTTGCTCCAGCGCCAGCAATTTTTCAGCGCGCGATGGAGGGCCTAGTTGGTGGACAGGAGGGCGTGCTGTTTGTTGGACGACGTGCTCATTACGGGGCGTGACGACGCCGAACACGCTGCACGGCTTCGGGCGGTGTTGCAGACATTACAAGAAGCAGGATTGACCTTGCAAAGGGAGAAGTGCGAGTTCTATAAAGATGAGGTTAACTACTTGGGTTATGTTATCAATAAAAATGGGTTCAAAAAGTCTCCAGATAAAATTAAAGCAATAGTAGACTCCCCTGCACCATCAAATATAAGCCAACTGCAATCGTTTTTGGGTCTAGTAAATTATTATAGAAACTTTGTACCAAGTGCAGCGTCTGTTTTAAGCCCACTTTATAATCTGCTAAAAAAGGGGGTAAAATGGTTGTGGGGTCTAGATCATCAAGAGGCATTCACTAAAATAAAACTGGTATTAGCTTCAGACCAGGTACTCGCCCACTTCAACCCCGAAGCAAGGCTAATCCTAACTGTAGACGCGTCTCCGGTTGGCTTGAGTGCGATACTGTCGCAAGTAGGTTCCGACGGGCAAGAAAGACCGATTTCGTTTGCATCGCGAACTCTAAATACCGCAGAGAAACGATATTCACAAATACAGAAAGAAGCGACCCCCAATTATATTTGGAGTTCGGCGCTTCCATCAGTATTTGTACGGTAGAACAAATCCGTTCGTATTAAGAACAGATCATAAGCCACTAATTTCGATATTCGGACCGTACAAAGGCATTCCGGAAGTATCGGCGAATCGACTACAGAGGTACGCAATGTTTCTAAGCGCGTATAACTATACGATCGAGTATATTCGAAGCGCTGATAACAGCGCCGACTATTTGTCTCGCTCAAGTATTTCGGAAGCGAGGCACGCGCCCGACACGGGTGCAGGCGCACTCGATAAGTGCACTGCGGACGACTTCACTTCGAGCGACCGCGCGGCTTACGTGTGTTTTGTGGTCGACACGAGTTTACCGATTACGGTTTCAGAACTACGAGATGAAACAAAAAGGGACAAAATTTTATCTAAAGTAACCGAATATGTTAAACACGGTTGGCCTAAGAAAATAATTGATTTGTACCTTAAGCCTTATTTTTCATGTAGAACGCAATTCTCGGTTGAAAATGGATGCTTAATGAGAGGTCATAAGGTCGTGATTCCCGAGACATTGCGTAAAAGGGTGTTAGCTGAGTTACACAAAACAC